CATACTTGAAAAAGTCGATTGTAGGCGAATGCTGATTCGGTTCGAACAAACATGAAAGCCATGGGATAGAAGGTCTGGTGGTATTTTTCTGTTTCACCGTAGTGCACCCCAAATGTTCCAAACGAAACCAGAGTATAGCCGCCGATGTGAAGCTTGTACGTTCCGTCCGTTGCAGCAAGAAAGTCCATCGATGATCTGTGCATGGACCGCTGCCCAATGATTGCTCGTGGACCAGTACGGAATAAACGCCTCGAGGTAAAAATGATGCCCAACGAAATCTCACCATTGTCCAACTTTTCCGAAAACGTGTCCAAAACGAGCAGCTCGTTCTGATAATCGAAAGGCTGTTTCAGGATCCTCTCTCCATCCTCTTCAATGTTGTAGGCCATATGCTGGAAGAACATTTCCTTCGTAGTGCACATTCTTGGCGACGCCCATACCATTAAATCAGCGTATGTCGTGATCGAAAATTCCCCCTTTTTCCGGAGCTTCTGAGCCCTATTTTTCAGTTGCCTGGCTGTTGGTAGTAGCGCTAATACCTCCGGAGACTTTTCATACCTGCTCTGAAGAGTACCCAGACATTGTTTAGGGCCTTGGCCACCAAGAAGAAGGTTGTCGACTTCTGTCAGAAGCGGTTTGTGAATACCCGTTCTCTGAGCATCTGTCGGCACTACTACAGGAGAACGTGTCCCAGTCCGCGACAAAATGTATTTCCCGCTTGGATTCATCTTGATCTTGGCAGCAGAATTACAGCCCGCATGCGAAGTGCAGTAAAGAACTGTAAGTGTTTTCCCGTTGTAGTCCACAGCAAACCTGGCGTTCTCGAGTCCGTCAAGCGCAACCCGAGCTTCTTGCATTGTTGAAAAAGGGATGGGATGTTCGGTGATTACCAACTCCTCTTCTTGATCTTGGTTTTGCTCTTGAGTAGAAGCTGTGTCATGTTCGTGGTTGTATACATCGCTATCACTGCTATCTTCGCTGTCGCAGGCATATTCATAGTCATCGTCTCCGTCGCTGACACACGGACTGCGCGTATTTAAGTCACCAAGTGTCTCTTCTGCAGCTTTTTCTTCACTGTCGGTGCTTCTTTGTCGAACACGGGCTGTTACTCTACGCCGATGTGGCGTTATAGTCCCTGAGAAGTCCTCACTATCGCCCGACGATGAAGAAAGTGATATAGAAGAAGGGGGGGCCCTCAGAGCGCCCCGTAGTACCGGCTGGCATGGCTATAAGACGGCCACAGCATACACGGAAGGACTGGCTCCAAGGCGAATATACCGTTGATGTTGACTACAGGAAGAGTGGAGTGTAGTTGGGATAGTCGAAGTCGTTTGATGAGGAGCTGGAAAATTGCAAAGTGAGAAACTAGAGTAGCCCAAGGAGGCATACAACCTTTGCGGCTTATGTATTGGGTACAGGAAAGCCGCATCATACGCCAGTAGGACTAACAACATCAATCGCCGTCTCTATATAAAGTAATGCATGGTAAATGAAGTAAAAACCGTATGATGCTGAATATAAATTCAGAACAAAGTTATAGAGATACAAAAACAGGAAGCAAAAGAATTCTTTTTTAACCGGTCATGCTACAATAACTACAGTAAATGCTA